AAAAATTAAAAATGAAAGAGTACTTAATTTACGTTAACCGTAATATTTATGAATATTTTAAATTTTTTATTATAACTTTTTTTAAGAGGGAGGGAAAAAAGAGGGAGGGACCAATATTGTCAAAAATTGCGTGAAGTAATTTATGGACGATCCCTAATATTTATCTATGTTTATGATTTAGATTTCTTTTAATCAATAGTTTTTTTAGGTTTGAAACATTAAAAAATATATATATATATATATTGCGTCACAAAATTGAATATTTCCTTTCCCTTATCACAAAATCGCTAACTCCTCCCCCCCCCCCCATATGCGTGACGTAATTTATGGACGAACCCATAGTGTAGAGTTAATTTTATGAAATACGTTCTGAAAAAAACTTACCCTTTTCATATTTCCAACCTGTATCTTTTGACTAATAATTTATCTTACGCGAAACTAGAATAGCATATAGATAATAAACATAACTCTTATAAAGTTTAATTAATTTGTTAACTGCTGTTTTACATCCCTAATTTAGGGTCGTCCATAAATTACGTTACGCAATTCTGACCCCTCCCTCTTTTTTCCCTCCTTCCTAGTAAAATAGTTATCTAATGAATACATTTTAATACATACAAATTTTAATTATTATTATTTAATATTACTACAAAAGTCATTATTCGTACGTGGGTAAAAAAAAAAGCCAAACAAAAAAAAAAATTATTTGTAGGCAAAAAAGTTTAATCTTTTTAATTTTTTTCACTGCTAATGTATTGGTGTGGAGTCGATTTTAGGTGGCGCTAACAAATGTGAGGGTTCAAGTCTTCTTTAGAGAAAGAAGTTTCGGTTTTTGATGTTTTATTTGAAAGTTGTTTTAAATGTTTTAACTATCGTTGAATACTTTTATTTATTATTTATATTTTTTTAAAGTTTCACAGAACAATAATCAATGCGTACTTAAATTGAGTGATATGGCCGTAGTAGTTATATACATCGACTGAATAAAATAGATATGGGGGAAGTGGAGTGTACATACATTATTTTTTGCACTCCTTTAGTTCGAGGTAAAGTTATGTAGATTAGCAGTGACTAGACGGACAAATAATCTCCAAAGATATTTAATTTTTGATAAATATACTAAATATTAATTAACTTCGTTAACAATAAGTTAGTGTCGCGATGCAGGTTATATTAACATAATAATATTTTATGTTAATGCGTATTAACTATTTCCGTTGTTTAAATAGTTATTGAATCATTTTATTTTATAATTATATTTATCACTTTTTCCATCGATTGGCTACATCATTGACTGATAAATCAGTAGACGCAGCGAAGTTTACTGATATTTTAATCTACTAAAATCAGTAGACGCAGTGAAATTTACATTAATCTACTAAAATTGAAGTCAGTATAAAAAGTTAATTCCAATAAAATTAAAGTCAATACAGAAATTTATTCCAACTTAAGTTAAATTGGAATAGCCACAGTCGAGTGTACATCAACTGAGGGTTTATGGTTTAGACTAGGCATTCTTTTATTCAATAGTTTTTTCAAGTTAGAAACATTAAAAAGTATATATATTGCGTCACAAAATTGAATATCCCCCTTCCCTTGACACAAAACTGCTAACTTCTCTTCCCCCACCCCGCCCAATTTGCGCGGCATAATTTGTGGATGAACCCCTAGTGAAGAGTTAATTTTATAAAATACTTTCTGACACACATACTCATTAATTATGCGTATAAACAAGCAAAATACTGTTAAACGAATGAAGTTTTTTTAAAACAATAACGTTTGATTTAGCGTTATGTTCAAAAACAATGTGTTGTATAAATCAATTTTTCCAATAGTTTTTATGTTTCAAAAAACGCGAGGATTTAAAAATTAGGTAATAAAAAAATTTTATCAACTTTAAAATCATTAAATCCTTTCATAGAATAAAACCGTTTTTACAAAGCTTAGCTTTTGTTTATCAAAAATTTTAATACTTTTTAAGAAGTTTAAAAAGTTTTTATTTTGATTCAGCATGTTAAAAATACACTAAATGCAATTAAATATTAAAATACAATAAATACAAAATTATATTAAAAAAAAAAGTCCGTAGTTTAATATTCTAAACCGCGGTTTTAAATTCTTAAGGTCCGTGGTTTTTAGTTTAAAAAATAATTAGAAAATAAAATTTTTTATTTATTATAACTGTTTATATATTCTAAAAGCAAGGTTTTTATCATGAACAACTTCAGATGATTATAATAAATTATGATAACTATACTGCTGTTGATATTATTATGACAAAAACTGCTGTTTTTGTTGCTAATTGTAACTGAAAAGTAGTCTGAATTCATAATTTTCTTTCTGGTATTCTATTTTTTATCAATTTCCTAAATTTATTTCCAAGTTGCAAAAAACATTCAAAAAAAAGAATCCATGTGTGCAACGTTAATAAACCGTGATCCAATTTTGGGTTCGTCCATTTTTATTTCTCTAACAAAGTTGATAACATTTTTTGATGTAATAGAACACAAGTAACACCGCGTTGCGGATTTCGTAAATGTTATTTCATGCATGGAAAATATTTACATCAATCATTGACAAAACCAATTTAAATATATGTTTTTTTTTATTTTATGTGGAACAATGTTAAGATTTATCTTCAATATAGTAATTTTATCTTCAATATTTTTCATTAACGCATTTTATAAAGAAACTGCAGTCTGATAGGTGCAAAATCAAGGAGTTAAAGGTGTCTTATTTTTTAACAGTACAACACCGTGACCTGAAACTGAATTTTTACACAAAAGTTGGAATTGTACAAGTGCAGTCAAAAAATCATTTGCATCCGAGTTGCCTCCATCAGCAAAACTGAATCAAACCCCAACTTAAGTTAGGGTTTTCTTAATTAAGAATATAATTTGATAAAATGATTATTATCAAGGAATCAATTACATTTGCAAAAAATTTTGCTGAGTTTTTAAAATTTGTTAATAGGTGTAATCTAATAAAGATTGTGCTTTTACTTTTGTGCTCGTTTCAGGTACAGATATATCTTCAGATAGATCTGTGGTTTTGTTATATCTGATAAATTTATATAAATGACAACCCAAAATGGACAGTTTCCAAGTAAGTCATAACGCCAACGTATATATTCTATTATAGAACGAAAAGAAGCCTGGACCCTGAATACGCTGTTAGTTTTATAGAGTGAATGTCTGTCTTTTATAGAGTGAATATCTGACCTGAGAATGAATCGACATAATTATAAATAAAAAATTAATCAAATTTTAGGGGGGGCACGAGCCGGCTGTGCCCCCCTCTAAATCCGTGCCTGCAATATAAAGTTTTACTAAAACGTTATGGAAATACCTCAAAAAGAATAATCCATTGCTAATATTTCAGAAATGATAAATAACTTTTTTGTAAACAATATTTGAGGACGTAGTTTTGTTGTTTATAAAACCACAAAATGCATGTTTTTAATAAAAAATGTTTAACTGCGTAGATATAGGTAACTATATAATTTGATAAACTTTTTTTAAAAAACAATAAAATGAATTATAGGAAAAATAAAATGAATAATGAGCTTTGTTTACGATTTAACAAAATAATAAGTTCAAAGTAATATTTTTTCGGCTTTTTTTTTAAATTCGCCAATAGTGCTACGTCATTAAAAGCAAGACTTTACAGGTCGATTCTCTTTACATAGCTTCACATCACGTTATAGCAGAGTTGTTAGTCTTTGGCCTTGGCCAAGGTCAAGGCCAAAGACTAACGATTCTGAGTTATAGTAAGTTACTCTAACTATTGAATCTATTTTTAATTCATAGAATCTTTTTATTTTTATTTTCTGATTTAACATTAACTTATTAAAAATCCATTTATAAGAAAACTTCATATTCATCGGTAAACATTTAGGTTCATACTATAATCTCTCAGCGTTCAAAAAATTATGACCATATAAAATTTGACCATAATTAATCTTTATATGTATAGTTTTTATATAGTTTTTAAACGATAAAAGGTTTAAGTATAAAACATAAAAATTTACCAATATATATAAAGATAGTTGAAAATGCTCAGCCTTGGGGTATGCCCAGCAACCGCTCAGTATATTTATTATATTATATATGTTATATTTATGTCTCATAAATATAACATATGTATTGTTTGCGAACCAACAAATTAAAAGCAGTCTTTTTTTGCACGTCGACAAGATCTAGCACTAATTAACGTTGATCGTGAAACTTTACAAAAATAGTAGTTATTATAATTGTTAAAAAAAATTGTTTTTGAATAACTTTTATAATTAAAATATCATCCTTTTTACAACAACAATAAAATTAAGAAAAAAAAAAAAAAAAATTAAGTTAAAAGTAGCGTTATCAGGTACGTAAATTTTTTAGTGTTCGAAATATTTGGGGATATTCCAGACTTGTCGCACACTCCGCACACTCACAGTTCAAAATTGCCTTGTTTGTCGCAACCTTAAAACACGTTTGTAATAAATAAATGAATAAAAACTTATTTCAAATATCATAAAAAATTTATATTATTTGAATGATAAAAATATTGAAATCCGAAAATTCATGTCTACGCCGTTTGCAAGTGACTTAAAGAATAAAGATAAATAATGCATCTTATTATTCTCTATTCAAACAAAGTGTTGTGAATTCTACTAAAATTGCTGTGAAACCCACAAGAGCGCTAGACATGAAAAAATTTTATATAGGTAGAAAAAAAAAAAAAAATTAAGAGCTAATTTATAACTCGCATAACTTTACTTCAGGTTAACGTAATTTTTTTATAATTTAATAAAAAAAGATTATAAAAATTTTTTGCTTTATTTTTTAAAATAATCAATTTGCAAGTGAAAAGCAAAGATATAAGTTTAGGCAAGTTGTATTATGTTTGAGTATTGCGCGTCGAAAAAATATTTAGGCAAGTCATCAATTATAATTTAGCCAATAAAAACTGTTTTATTTTCTCACGTGACTTTTAGAACTTCGTGGTTCTGTTTTCAAAGCTGCGCCTTCATGTAAAAGTGCAGTTGAAAACTTTGTGTCGTAGTGAAATCATGTCCGTGTGTTTTTCTACCTCAAATTTATTTTATTTTTGTTTAATACCTAAGAAAAACATAACTAAAAATGGTCATTTTAGTTTTTTTGGTAGATACTAGTGCGTCTATGAACCAAAAGACGTGCCTTGGTACTACCTATTTAGACCTAGCAAAAGGAGCTGTGGAATCTTTTTTAAAAGTAAGGATTAAGTTATGATGGAAATATAAGTTTCCTCATATTCTTAAAAAGTTTTTCTATGGATTCCCCTTAAAAACTAGATATTTAACACTTGGACATAATTTCTTTTTCTCAGATACGAGCTCGTGACATTAATGCCAGTCGTGGAGATCGTTATATGTTGGTGACTTTTGACGAACATAATAAATCTGTTAAGGTGAGGGCGGAATGCGAACGATTTGTACAAAATTTATTAAAAAAATTTACTTTTATTTCATATCTATCGTTAAAATACTTCCTTTTTATGTTCAAACCAAAATCCAAATCAAAACACCATTTCGCATCTAGTAAGCATGCGCGAAGCACATACGCGGTTTGTTTAAAATTTATTCCGTATAATAATAAAATTTAAATAAATTTTATGCATTTTTATAATTATTATTAAATTTGTAGAAAATAAAGCATATATAAAACTTTTAAGCATAAATCTTTACATAAATATAATGAACTATTATATATATATATATATATATATATATATATATATATATATATATATATATATAATATATATATATATATATATATATATATATATATATATATATATATATCATATGTATATATAGGTATTTTTTTTAATTTTAAGTTATAATTTATATTAGATTTTATAATAATAAATTTAGTTTTTATTTGTCAAAATTTTTACATGAATAATTACTTTTTTAAAATTTTTTATTTGTTACAAGGTTTGTTCTATGTAATAAAATTTTTGAAAGCCATTACTGGATTTAAAAAATTGAGTAAAAAATATAAAAAACAAAACTGACCCTTGAATATTTTATGGGTCCCTAATATTATCCAAAAAAAAATTCTCCAAAAGTATAGCACTCAAAAGAAACAAAATTTTAAAAAAGTTTTAAAATTAGTAATTATATTTTATAAAATCCATTAAAAGACTTAACTTTTATAAAATATTTAAAAATGTTAAAAACAATAATTTTTATGCAAATAAATCAAAAATAATATTTTTATAAAATAATTAGTTTTTATTGAAGTTTTTGTAAAGTTTCATTTCTTTTGAGTACCAGGTTAACATACTTTAAAGAAGTACTTTTATGATGATATGATAGACCCGTCAAATACTCAAGAAGCAGTTAGGGCTCTTAAAAAATAGGGTGTAAAATCCTAGGGGTGTAGCAGGAGATTTTCAAAAAAAGTATTTATGTAAAATTATAAAAAAAAATTATATATTTAACTGAGAACTTGTTTGAAAATGAAAAAAAATTAGGGAGGCAGTTAAATGTGTTATAAAATTTTAATAAGTTTGTAGTGCAGAAAAAATTAGACTGATAGGATCAATACATAACATAATTTCATACTTAGATACATAGATTACAACAGAGAAAGACTAATATTCTAAACAAATTACCAAATTGATATAATTTAAAAAAATTTTCTTTAATTCTCCTACTCCTTAACAGTAGTAGCTGCAGGGGCTACTACTGTTAAGGAGGCTACTAACTTTTTTTGTTTATTTTATTCAAAACTATGTACTATAGTAAATATAAATGTGTGGGTATATATATATATAAATATATATATATATATATATATATATATATATATATATATATATATATATATATATATATATATATATATATATATATATATATATATATATATATATATATATACTATAGCATATTTATGTAACCAATTGTTACCATATTTTTGTTACATTAATTAAATTTGCATTTTCACAAAAAGAAGAAAAAAACGAGGAGTAATGAAAGAAAAGATTGCTGCTCCATCCCAAACCCTCAGTTGATGTAGCAGCACTCTACTGTGAGTCAGGCTATTTGTCAGTCATTGTATGTACTGAAGCCCCCGGTAACAGGCTATTTCAGTGTGACATCAGAGAACTCATCTAAACTAGCAATTTAAGTTATGTACATACATACCTACTTATAAAAACTTTCAAGAATTTTTTGTACACTTTAATTTCGATTGCAGCTATTTTAAAAATGCGCTGAATGAAAAAGATTCTGAAATATGACATTGAGAATTTTATCTTTACTCTTTTATGTTTTTATATTAGCGAAACACATTTAAATAAAGTAAAAGTGTACTAATAATGATTTTTGTTTAAAGTATCCGTTAAAGTTGTACATATATTTTTTTAACTTTTTTTATAATTATAAAAAAATTACAAATATTTTTGAAAGCCATTACAAATAAATGTTTGATCTTTAATGCTTTAATATTATTAAAACAAATTAATTTTTGTGATGTATCAAAACAGTAATTTTTTATGCAATGCATTAATGAATAATAAAGAATAATAAAAAGAAGTATTGCTACCCCAGCTCAAACTCTATGTAGCAAGATTCTTATAGATCAGTATGTTGTCTAATTTTCTATTTTTTAATTAGGTTGGTTGGAGAGAAAATCTTGCACAATTTTTAAAAGAATTAAAGAATTTAGAAGCATATGGTCTTACTGATCTTGGTGGAGCTTTAAAACAAGCTTTTGACTTACTGAATATGACACGGTTACAGTCAGGAATAGATAATTATGGTTTGGTGAGGAACTTAACCATTAAATTTTTTAGATTATTTTTTATTAATGTGATATATATCTAACAATAATTGACTTGGTAGTAGTTCAAAAATTTTTAATTAGTAATGTTAATGTTAAACTATTCATTACAGTTTTTATCATAATTGCGAATATTTAATGGTAAATTATATTTTAATTTATATTTATTTTAATTTATCAATTATCATTAAATATTTGTAGTTCATTTTGCTTCCACATGACATTTTTTTTTCAAAATTTGCGTTTTGTAGTTAATTGGTTGAGAATGTAGTTTATATTTATGATAATAATAATATAATATATATTTACCAAAGTCATTGATTCCCTGATAGTGTAATGCTGATGTAACGCTTGTGTATTAAAAATGTAGAAGTTATTTTAAGGCACGTTATTTTAATTACTTTAAAAAATATCATTTGTTTAAACAAATTCATTTTATTTAAACTTTATTAACTTATTAAGTTAAAATATTGTGCGATGCAGTGGTTAATCAAATTCTTTCGATTACTTTTTTCTTTTTTTTTTTCCAATATTTTAATTACATAATTGTTGCTAATATATTGATAATAATAAATAATAATATAATAAATGACACGGCAATTAATAGTAATTTAGGGCAGTAAATAGTCAAGTAATCCAGTTGATAAATAAGTTAAAATGCATGTAATGTTTTTTATGCATGTTTAAATGTACATTTATTAACTGAATTATTTAGGAATAAGCACAATAAGTCAATATATATAAACTTATTCGATGAGCCATATGGGTGGCAGAGTTAACATATACTGACTAAGATTTTCAGCCATAGAGGCAGCACATACATCAAGTGATTTATTTAGCGATTGGCGCGGTGAGCGCACATTCGTCACTTCAGGTTTTTGGTTAGGGGAGTTAAGTACTCTTTTAATGAGTTTTTAACTACTTTAACAAGTTTAGTTTTAACTTAAACAAATTTACTTTAACATATTTTTTTATTAATATTTTATTACTTTATGTTCCTAATAGCGTTAGCTATGGCTTTAATTAAGTAAAGTTATTTAGTTAATAAAGATAAAATATTTAATTTCATACCAGCTCATGCAATCAAAATTAATAAGTTGCAAGGTCAGTCATTTAATCATGTTGGAATTCATTTGCAAATGGCGTCTGCGCGCATGGACAGTTTTATGTTGCTCTATCAAGGTTCAGAATTTCCAATCAGGTCAAGTTTTTATCAAAGCAAAATCTCAGCAAGGTCAACTGATGAATGATCAAAGACAAGATTTATTTGCCTTCACCGGCTTTCCTTCTCTTCTCAAAATAAATATTATTTACAAGTGTAAAAGGTTGCTAAAGATGGCCGCCACGAGCACCCATGATATGTCTAGTTAATAATAGTTATTTTATTTTTAAACTTTGTGCTTTGTCAAACTCTATTTTCAAAGTTGCACAAGACACACTGTTGGCTATTGGTTGTTTTAAACGTCCATTAGTTTATGTTGATATCAAGATAAAATGGAATCTAATTATATTTGTAGAATAGCAGTCTAGCATTAGGTTTATGCCCTTCAAGCAACTAAAAAATTGTTAGTGTCTTACTTGAGTAATCAGCTATGATTATTGGTTGTCCAATTTTGTTTTTGTGTATGCAATTTTTTACACTCAATGAATTATTTAGTTCCATCATCTATAGTTTTAATTAAGTGTAGAAAAAGTTTAAATTTTCCTTCTGAAAAATTTTCAATTAAGAAGAAATTGGTCTTGATCTTTATTTTATATGTTTTTAATTATACTCTAAATACATTAACTTTTTAAGAATTAAAGAACACTGTTGTATAGATTGTGTAATGTTTTTTTTTTTTTGTTTTTTTGTAGTAAAAATAAAAACAAAAGTCTTATTTTAAAGTCATGTGATCATGAATTTATCATGATATCATAATTATTTTAACTTAGTGGAGTTCTTTTTATTTTGTTTATAAAATTTTAACTTCATATTTTTTATTTTGTATCTTTCTACATGTTTTGCCATGTAGAAAAATTTTTTTTTCCAAATTCTTTGTAGTGAAACACTTTTAACTTTAAATAAAAACATATTAATTTTATGCTTTTATTTATTTATTTTTTTTCTTTTATTCATTTTATCATTTGTTTAGATTTTTATTTTTTTAGTTTAGTTTTGTATTTTTTTCTCTTTCCAGTTTATAGTTTGTTTATTTTAGTTTTAGTTTACATTTGTTTTTCTCTTTCCAGTTTATAGTTTGTTTATTTTAGTTTTAGTTTACATTTGTTTATACAGCACATTTTTAAACGCACTAACTTAAAAAACGTGCAAGTTGCAGTGGCCAAGTTATCAAAACAAAATATTATATCTGTGGTCAAATATGGCGACCACACGCATCTCTTGGGAAGGCTTAACATTTTCAAATAGATAATTCTATACAATATATGTATAGTTTTCTAGGAAAAATTTTGTTGTTGTTGGCTAGTGTTGTCTTATTTAAATAACGTAAAAAAACTGTCTTGTAAATATTTTTACAAATTTCAAGTTTTTTATTTTTTATTTTATAGGGTAGGAATCCTTATTACTTAGAACCTGCTTTAGTAATGTTGTTTTCGGATGGATGTGATCTTATTAATGTCAATGGAATTACAGGAGAGGTTTGTTATGTTTATATTGTTGTAAGAAAAATATCAGGAGTAAACATATTTCTCAATTAACTGATAAAATAAAAAAATGATTTTTCAGATCTCAAAATATGAAAAAATTTATTACGGTAGTAATAAAGGCCAAATATAACTTTTTCTTTATGGTATTACACTCCTAAAAAAGGTTAGAAAAAAACAATTTTTCAAAAGTCGTTTTATTTGAAAATGAAAAAATTCCTAAAACAATTTTGGTTGGTTGAGTTTAAACAAGATAAACTTTATTCATTTATATCCTTCTTTGTGATCTAAAGTGTTATTCATGATAAAAGTTAACTCTTAGTGAATGACAAAGAAATTACTTTTGTTTTTTCATAACTTTTGTCATTTTATAACCTTGATTATAATTTAATACTTTAAATTATAATCAAGGTTAATTTATGATTTTAAATGTAATACTTTGTTACATTGAGTTTAAGTAGTAATAAAGCACCTGCTTTTTTTGCAATTGTCTTTTTTTTTTTTAATTAAAAAATCAGACAATTGCAAATAAGAAATGTTGAGTTTAAACTATATTTATAGAAAAATTATAAAACATTAATAATTCATTCTATAAAAATATCAACTTTGATGTGAACATTTGCCATCCATGTTGAAATTGTATGTAAATTTCATTTGTGTCTATTGTGTCATTTTTTAAGGTTTAGTTTTTTACGAAAATTTTAAAGTTTGTATAAGTTTTTTTTTTTTGTTCTAGTAAACTGGTTTACATGGGTTTTGAGGCAAATACAGGGGCATAGCCTGCTACTTTCAGTGAAGTCTCTATTTATATTTACTCAGCCAGTCTAAATTTAGATTCAAAATATATATATATATTGACTACTTACCCAATGTTGTTGTCTTCCGCACTATCTTTCTAGTTATCTTCTGTTGTTATGATTTCAGCTTTACTTTTGTTACATTTATAAAACAGAATAAATATTATTTATAATAATCATTTTTCAATTTAGATAATTGTACCATCTAATAACCAGTTACCTGGTGCTGAGTTAACAAAAGAAATATATAGGTGGGACCAGCGATTGTTTGCATTAAACCTTAAAATACCAGGTTTTGCAGCCTCTGTAAATGAAAAGTTATCTACTTTACAAGCAGAAGATATGGCTCTTTCAAATCTTTGTGAAGATACTGGAGGTAACATACTTTTTATTATTTATTTTAAAAACTTCAAAATTTTTATTATTTGTTTCAGAAATATGGTCTTAATTTGTTAATTAAACTGTTTAATTAATTATACCACTCTGTTATCTGTTGCCACCATTGTATGATTTTGTTTTTTTATAAATATAGCTGTAACTTCTAATTTAATTGATTCCTTTTATTGATGTCTAGTTAAAATTAGATGATGTCTAGTTGGAAATTAGATTTTATTCTAAAGCATTAAAAATATCATTTTATTTTATGTTTAATTTTTAATGAACTTTTAAAAGTACTGGCCTAAGTTATATTTTTTTATAAGTGAATTTTTTAAGTAAACATAGAACTTTTTTCAATCTTTCATTTAAAGTTATGAATTGAACTGTCATTCAATATTGATTTTAAAGGGTTTGATATTCAAAATTATAAGTTGAAGAAGCAACATTCTTTATTGGATTTACTAATTTAAAAATTTCTTTAATTTTAAAAATTCAGGTAAATAACACACTTCAGGATTTTTAATTGTTTTAAAAATCCCAAAGGTTTAATTATAAAAAACAATTGTAAAAAATAAAGCAACCTATATCTCTCTATATAAACATATCTTTATATATCTCTATATATAAACTCCATATATAAACAACCTATATCAACCTATATTTAAAGTGTTACGGTCATATCATGTAGAAAGTATATTTAGAATGCACAACCAAGAAATGAATTAAGTCAAGTACAATTATTTTCTTTACGCAAAAAAAGCGTAGTTTTTAACTAGCCTGGTCATTCAAAAGTTAAAATTTTAATTGATGTTAGTTGTTCTCTAGTGGTGCAAAAAGTAAAAATTTGAAGGTAGGCGGTCAATTCAACTGGCTAAAGCATAGAATTGACAATCAACTGATTTTGTTGGCCAGTAAATTATAAATTTTTTATTTAAGTGTTTTACTTTTCCTTTTATAACACTTTTTTTTTTTTTTAACATCCTCGCCTCCAACAAGGCTGCAAGCAACCACTAATTAGTGTTGGAAGTTACTGGAAGTTAAGAGAAAAGATGAAGATTGTAGAGCAAGATAACGATTGACAGACGACTTAAAAGATAGCAAATTATATGAATCAGGAAAGCAAGATGAAGGAAGCGAATTCCAAAGAACTGATGTTCGAGGAAAAAAACTAGACGAGTAAGAGTTTTTGGAACACTTAGGAACAGTAACAGAAAAAGGATGAGACTTAATTGAATAACAAGTAACACGAGAATGAGTTTTAGTAGATGGCACAAGAGATGCTAGCTCTTTAGAGCAGTGCCCATTATAGTATTTGTAGAAAAGAGAAAGAGAAGCAACATTATGATGATGTGACAGAGGTTGAAGGTTGGCTGCAAGAGCAGGTCCAACTATGTTTACAATGCGTTTTTGCACCTTGTCTAAAAGAGAAAGGGCATCATTAAAAGATCCGCCCCAGATATGGCAACAGTATTCCATACAAGGTGGGGTTTGAGATTTATAGAGATAGAAAATAGAATCCAGAGTAAGAAAGTGTCGAGCTCGATAAAGAGAAGCGACTTAAGCAGATGCTAATTTTGCAACAGATTTGATATAAGGTTTCCAAAAAAGATCAGAAGTGAGAGTTAACATTACCGTTCATAAATATAGGAAGGTCTAAATTATTGCGATAACGATTTGCTGAAAAAAATTGAGTTTTATCTGAATTAAAGTTCACCAGCCACTGTGAGCCCTATGCTGTAGTAGAAGTGAGATCCTTTTCAAGATCAGATGCCCCCTGCAAGCAATCAGAGGGAGTTGGCTTCTTATCGTAACAAGAAAAAATGGTAGTATCATCAGCAAGCAATCCCACCTTAGATGTGAGAATATCTGGAAGATCGTTAATGTAAATTAAAAAGAGTATAGGGCCAAGGATTGAACCTTGAGGAACCCCTGAGGTTACAGAGTAAGAAGAAGAGTGCTGTCCATCAAGGATAACTTTTATAGTACAATTAGAAAGGAAGGACTCAATAATCTTAAAGATGTTTCCAGATACACCGTAAGAAGAAAGCTTATGGAGAAGACCAGCATGCCAAACTTTATCAAATGTTTAGAAATGTCAAGAGCGATGGCCTTAACCTCTCCACCTTTATCTAATGCGCGATAAAAACTATCGGTTATTACTGTTAGCAAATCAGCCGTAGAACAAGAAGATCGAAATCCATATTGATGATCAGAATGTAAGTTATGAGATTCGAGATTAAGTGTTTGTTAATTAAAGATTCCAAAACCTTGCTTATGATAGGAAGGAGACTAATGGGACTGTAGTTAGACGAATCGGATCGCTCTCCAGAATTTTTAAAAATAGGGATAACAGATGCTGCTTTCCATTAGGCTGGAAAACAAGGCTCTGATAAGCACTTGTTAAATAGTTTTGAAAGGATAGACGACAGCTCTGGAGAACACTTCTGCAAGACTATAAATCACTTATTGATCTTTAAATAAAAAAATACTTTATGCTAAAAAGTATTAGTTTTGACTTTTTTTTTAATTTCATCATTTTTTTTTTTTTTTCATAATGAATACTCACAACAAAGTTAATAAATAACTAATGCTCCAATTATCAGTTTGAAATAGCATTAGTCTTAAATAGTTCATGTATACAGATTAAAAACAAAGTTTTGATTAAAAAGGAGGTTTGGTAGCCCCAAAGTAATTTTAGATGTTTAATATTTTTGTATATATAATTTGTAAATAAATTTTTTATACAATATAAGGTAAATTAGGGTAATATGAGCACCTTAAGCAAAAGTTGGAATATTTTAAAAAATAATAATGCAGGATCAAAATTTTTGCGTATTAACAATTTTTAGTGATCGCTACTCATGATCCATTTAAATATTTGGGCAAACTGAAATTTTTATTTAAAAGTACAAAGGTTTTAAAATAGTTACAAAAGTGCTCATTACCAAGACCACTTGGTAATATGAGCACTTTAAATTAGCTCAAAAAATAACATCAATTAAGTAAAAAAAACCAACCTGACAATTGAAACTTACAATACAATAGTACTTTTTTTTATGTAACAACAACAAAAAAAAAAATCATTATTTTTTCAATTTTATTAATTCAAACCTTTAAACAATAAAGATACAAATTTTTTGAAATTTCATTATAAATTTAAAAAATATACAGAAAGATTTTTGGTATTATTAAAATACTAAAATTTTTTATTATGTTTTGCTTTTGTTCAAAAAGCAATTAAAACCACAGCAATTATAGGACTTTAACCTAGGTAATTTCGTTAAAAAATACTGGGTAATTTGAGTATGCTTGTATTACACAAAAATGGTATCTTAAATTTTAGTCAAAAATAAATGCTTCTACACATCGTTTTTTTAAAATAATGGAATGGATTTCTAGTTAATATATTTTTCTTTATAAAAAATTGAACTGTTTTGTGCCACAAATTCTTTTATGTGTAATGATAATAATTTAATAACACTAAAAGTTAAATAGAGTTTTGATTAGATGAGGGCCGCTAATTACTTCATGTATATTTAAGCTAATTGTACTGCTTCCTATTATCACTACATAAAGTCGATTCAAAAAATAAAAAGTAACTTAAACTTCTTTACTTACATCTTAGAAATCTTTTGGCATGCTAATTTTACCTAAATCTACCTTAATAGAACTTTTATAAAATTATTAATAAAAAATGAGAAAATTAATTTAATTGTAAATTATATAAAAATAATTTAATTGTAAATTATATAAAAAATAAATAAAAAAAAATTGTTAAGGAAAATTTAATTTAAATTAAAAAATTAATTTAAATAGATTTTTGTAAATTTTTTACTCCCTTTCCACTGCACGAAAAGTGTTTTTAATTTTTAAATTTTATCACTCGTTATTTTAAATTGAAATCTGTAGCTGTAGAAAATATGAAATTTTAGCAATGATGATATAAAGTTTAGTATAGCATGATCTATTTAGTTTATTTTAAATCTATCTAGTTTATTTTTAGCACAAAAATATTTAAATAATTGAAAGCAAATAATAGAAAACCTCTGTTTACTAGAAAAACCACTGTTTTTTAAAATGCCGCGATTAAAATTACTAAAGCTAATCATTTTTTTGATAGCTCGATTGAAAATAATGTTCTAATAATAATTATAGTATTTCAATGCAAAAAGAGTGACAAACATTAAAGATGTTTTTAAAAAGATTTAATAAAAAAAAAATTAAACAAGAAAAAAAACATTAAAAAGCTTATGATAAAACTATCTTTATTCATTCAAAGTTGAGTTTTTTTGAACAATCAGTAATTAAAAATAATCTGTACATAAATTTTAGTGTTGCCATTATTAAGCAGTATCGAAATATCAACTTTACTGCAATAATGATTAGAAAGAATTAAAAAGAACCTTTTGAGTTCTCACTTCTGTGAACTGTTACAAAGTGAACTATAATGTCAGAGCAGTTGCCTTGTAAGTGGGAAGTACCAAGTTAGAAACCCATCATGTCTGTTTCCATTGTACTTAAGAAGTTACAATAAATTAAAAATTTGTATCATTTTATATATTGAATAAATAGTAACTGTTTTTAAAGACTGGAGTTTTAAAGTTTTAAAAATTGGGTTTGTTTAGAATATTGTGCATCGACAGAGTTTTTAAAAATAGAAAGTACAGATATTATTTTTCATCAGTCACAAAAAGTTTCAGTTAAGCAGTGTTAAATATTTGTAAAAATTTCTTTAAAGTTTACAGAAAAAAGATTTTTTTAGGAGCACTTAAAGCGTGACAAACTTTTTTAAGAGCACTTAGAGTGTGACAAATTTTTTTAGAAGCACGCTTAGGCTGTGACATAAATTTTTCAAGAGCACTTAGTGTGTGACAAACTTTTTTAGGAGCATTTGAAGTGTGACATGAACTTTTTTAGGAGCACTTATTGTGTGACATAAAATTTTTTAGGAGCACTTACAGTGTGACAGGAACTTTTTTAGGAGCAAAATTAAACTGTTACAAAATTTTTTAACATTAAACATTTTTCTTGATTTAAGTTAGATATGTAAGAATATAGTTTAATTTTTTAGTCATTAAAAATTATTATACTTACGTTATTAGGTTAATTTTTATATTTTATATTAAATGTTAATAATATATAAGTATACAACAAAAATGTTTTTATATAATTTATCTATATACTTTTATTGATTTTTAATACAAGTTAATACAAATCTGTGTTACAATGATATAATGAATTTTAATTTTAATTTTTTATGTTCTTTATTTTAAAAATTGTTTGCTTAATAATTTTAAAAATTTAGAAATTTGTTAGTAGTTTGTTTATTTTTTTATTAAAAGATAAACATTAAAATAAAGTTTTTACTATTAGGAAAGTTATATAGTATTGGAAGTTACAAAACGTTATTGCAATCTCTTGAATCAATTGCTCAAAAAATTGCAGTTCCAGGTGTTATAATTAATTTTGAAAAGCATGGTCCTGACCCTGAACCAATTTTAAAGGATGGTATGTTGTTTCTAAAAGTTTTAATTTAAAAATTAGTTTAAATAATTCCAGTAACAATTATACTTAATATATTTAATTTTATTTAGGATCAAAAACACCAAAAACTGAAGAAGAATCTGTTTCCCCTGCTCTTGATAATAATGGTGTACTTCCGATTTCATTTAATTCTACAGTTCCACTAATGAATGGCTTTCTTTCACACTCTAATCGTCTATTAAATGAAAATATAATGAATGGGAATCTCAATAATAGCTTTCTACCTACAGATTCAAATGGAAATATTGCTTTAGGAGGTTTGTTACTACCTCCTCCTATTCTCCATCCTGGAATGATCCCTCCCCCTCCTCTTCCTGT